CATAGGAAGTTATTCTGGGTTATGTTGGCATGGTTGATATAATCACAAGGGTCCTTAAAAGAAGGAGACACAAGGGTCAGAGTTCAAGATTGAAAATGCTATGCTGTTAGCTTTGAACATGGAGTCAGGGGCTATCAGTCAAGGAATGACGGTGGCTTGTCTACAATGAAAAAGGCAGGGAATGGATTTTCCCCTAGAGCCTGCATAAAGTAATACAACTCTGCCAACACACTTGTATTTTTAAACTGAGGAAGACCCATTTGAGATTTCTGACCTCCAGAATTATAAGAAAGAAATCTGTGTTGTTTCAAAACACCAAATGTGTGGCAATTTGTTACAACACCAAGGGGAAACCAATATGCTTGGCACAGAACAAAACAGCTGGAGACCTAGAGAAAAATATCAACAGATGTGAAAGGTCAATTTAGATAAAAGACAATTCTGCTGGCCCAAGCTGGAGAGAAATTTAAAATACCAGTGCCTAAATGAAGAGAGTTAATGTCTTCACTTGAAGTCCCTTAAATACAGAGCTCGAGACAAGGACTTGTGTGCTTATGTATGAAGTGATACCAGGGAATAGAAGTGAGAGAGTCCGGAAAAGTGAAAGTAGATAGAAGAGGAAACAAATATCAAGGTCATTGCTGAAGGACAGGGTAGCCACTGGGAACTCTGAAAACCACATAACATGCTGTCTAGAATTAACCAGAATAAGGAGCCTAGAGCGTTGCCCCACTGCTTCCTATCTCTGACTGGGTGAGGATTAACCTCTCCCATCCAAGAAGGCTGTGAGGCTTTGGAGAATTCCCTAAAATAGAAGGTAAAAAGATACAGAGTGCATGCCAGAGACTCTGACCTTGTGGAGAACTACTGTCCACAGCTGTGGCTGAACTCTGAAATCAGAGGTAAGTCAAGGGTATGTGATGCAGGGCATCCGATGAATTTGCTACAGTCAGTGTGCTGTCAACACTGAGTTCTAAGAAATAAGTTAAAATTATAGACCCACCAAAAGACAGAAGGTCCAAGAAATAAACAGACATAATTAGTTTATATTAACAAACTAACAATAGGCACATGAAGAAAAAATGGTAGAGCGTATAAGTAATGGAAAAATGTAAATGAAACAATGAATAACCTCTTGGCTATCAAACTGATATTTCTATACTTGTGAAGAGTGTAAATTTTATCAGCTTCTCTGGGAGTTATTTTTGTCTTACGTATTAAAAGAACTGAAAACATGAATGCTCTTTGAATCATCATTACCAGTTCTAATAATTTAACCTAAGGAAATTAACAACATATTTAATAACTGAAACACCCTAAAATAGAGGATTGCTTAAATAAATCTTGGTGTAAAAATATAATGGGGGTAATAGCCATTATCATGTAATAACTATTTTTAGAAGTGAAAATATACTCACAACTTACAAAATGAAATATCTAAGTTACAAATAGAAGGCACCCATGGAGTGACTCAGTTTTCTCAAAATATTTTATATCTGAAACTATACATATTTTTCAGAAGTAGTTTTCTTTGGAATTTGTTTTATTCGTCAATATTTTCTACACACAGTAGTTATTTCTTTTGTAATACAATTCAAATTAGGATTTCTAAAAGGGAATCCCACATTACAGTATTTGCAGTCTGTTCTAGAAAATGATTCTTAAGGTTACTGGGTAACAAAACCTATAGATAGTAGACACTTGATATTCACAGAGGATAAGCCCTGGGACAACAGAAGATTTGGAAATTTAAAAATAGTCGAGGTATTTAATTTTCCTCTTATAATACTATTGATTATCACACAAAAAATGTAAGTGGCTCCCTTAGGTCCTTGATAACACTATTTGGGTTTTTTATATATATATATAAAGATTTTAAGTATTTACTTGAGAGAGTGAGAGAGAGCCAAGAAGGGAGAGGGTTAGAGGGAGATATTTGGGCTTTAAAATTAGTAAAAGACATTTTGAGCACAAAAACCCATACTGCATTAATGCTCTAGGACTCAAAATAAATGTTTATGATCAAGAAACTCAAGCAGTGACAACTGGAAGCATAGAGTAGGATGAAATTAGACGTCTGGAGCTCTTTTGCACTGCATGGGAAGAAACAGAAAGAAATGTGGATGGGGGGGATGGTCTGCTATGCGTTGTCACTCAACTCAGCGCATAGGACACAACTGTCCTTTCTCTAACTTGATTCAAATCCATGCAGAAAGCCAACTTCTACTGCGACGTTCATTAGGTTCAGTCATTCTCAACAAGTATTTGTGCTGTTGGTATTTCGTCCTAAAATAAAGCATCCACCATGTGTGTATTAATCTTCTTTTCCCTTCTGATGCTATGACATCTGGAGCCCTGATTATTATGGAGACTGCTTCCTCCAGGCCTAGCTAACTCCTACTGTAAACACTTGCTCTAGGAATATTTTTTCATATGCAAACTAAATGACCAGAAGCCCACCCTTCCCGCCCATGGAGCTCTTACACTGTAGAACCAATATTCCCCTGCCCTAAACACTCCAGGACCAGGTATCAGGCAATTAGGAACATGCTCTATGCCCTGTGACCTGCGGAAAATACTTACTCAATCCTAAACCAGTTTACCTTGCCTTGCCCATTCCTTCCCTCGAAGACCAGAAGGAAGGTCCTCGCCCATTCCCCTCTGCCTCCCTCTGTCTCTTGACCCACGCTGGTGCCTCCTCACAAACTGGTAGTCACAGACTGTCTTCTCAGTGGCAGGCCTCTCATCCATGGCCTTACATTTTAAAACAATATAGGGCTGCAGATAGCACCTGCTGATGGGTCTGGAACAGACAAGTTCAAACAAGCAGCAATGCCACCTGTCACATTAACTATTGAATTCCTGTTTGATGTGCTACATATTTCATATGGACTCCTTAACACCTTTTTTCTTTGATGTTGAGATACGTTTATTTGAGAGGTCAGTGGTAATATTTAAGAAGAAAGAAGGTCCCCCAAAACCAATGAGTTAAAGGTTTTAATATGTCTGCTACACTGTCAAGGCTAATTGGTTCTGTCTCACCTTTGGTGCATTTGCCTGTTCAGAATTACTTTTGTGGCTGGTGCTACAGGCTGCTACACAGCACAGGAAGCAAGCAGGGCTCATCCAGCTGTCAAAGCCCTAGTCCTACTTCTGTCCCCAGCTGCAGTGGCACCCCACACTGCCCTGCTCCTGCTCTGCCTGCACCAGCCCCTCACTGTTTCCCACTGGACGATGCCCAGAACGCCCACAAGAATATTTGGTCAAGTTAAATGTACCTCCAAAATACTGACTTCTTACTCTCTGAAGAAAACTTCACTTTCTGTACCATAAGTTCACCCAATTCCAGCCTCAAACAAGAGAGGGAAAGGTGGCTAATTAAATTGTTCTGGTTTTGTGCAGAAATCTGGGTTCAACCACTTGATTCCACTGTAAATGTATGAAAGCTGGTCATACAAGGAGCAGTGGCCTCCTGATAACTGACAGTCTTATTAAGTATTCCTGGGACTCAGGATCCTTTGCAGAGATCCTGCTAATAATCTCTGTATTCCTGGGAAGCTTCTACATGGGATCAGGGCCTTGAACTACAACCTCTTCAAACTGTTTCCTTTGTCTCTCAGTGGTAACCCAGGGTCAGCTGAACTCTATATTTTTGTGTCTGGCACTGTATGTAAAGATGCTCAAGCTCCCCATGCCTCAGTTTCCTCATATGTCAAATGGGGATAATAACAAAAACTTGCCTCAGTTTTTGTTTGTTCGGGGGCAGTTTAAAGGAGGTAATACACTTAAACCATTTGAAAATGTGTCTAGGGGGTACCTGGATGGCACAATAATTAAGCATCTGACATGGTTTCAGCTCAGGTTCTGATCTCCAGGTCATGAGATCGAGCCCCTCATCAGGCTCCGCACTCAGCACAAAATCTGCTTAAGATTCTCTCTCTCTGCACCTCCCACTCATGCTTTTCCTCTCTCTCAAATAAATACAATCTTTAAAAAATAAAAATAAAAAACAAATTTTAAAAAAAAGTGTCTAGCTTTCAAAACATGTGAACTGGTCATTACTATTCTTTAACCCCAACCCATCTTATAAGGCCTAGCTGACTTTGCCTCTACAACCTCAACAGTACTTAAGACTTGAGTACATAGTAAGGGTTCGAAAACTCCATTTAAAAGGCAGATTCCCAGGCTCTTGCCCAGAGAGACAGTGAGTAGGCCTAGGAATCAGCATTCTCAATGCACACTCTAGGTGTTCTTACAAAGGTGGCCCATGCTGCACACGGCAGCTCTGCCCTATCTATGCTGTCTCTAATTACCACTTGCACACAGATCAGCCTTGCTATTCTGAATTCCCAGCTGGTGCGTTGTGTTGACTGCCTTATGTTCCATGTTTAAGTTTTATCATCAAGGAAGATTATAAATTACTGAAAGAGAGGGATTTTATTTTCTTCAGTTTACTATCCTCCAAAGCAGAGAAGAGTGCCTTTCTTACACCAACGTAGGATATAAATTAGTTTTGTGATAGATTGATCATTGAATCTTAAAGCCTCAAGTGCACAAACCCAAATCCTCTAACTGAATTCCATTCAAACAAGCAGCAGCAGACTCGACTTTTCAATATGGTCTTGGGACATTACTTCAGTTGCTCTAAAAATAGAGTTATTTAATATGCTCCAATCGCATTTTGATTTTCTATGAGAAGGTTGTGAGTTAAATCATGATTTCTATTAGGCTGCAAATGTTTTCCAGAGTAGTTTAAGGTCCCTGTGTAGCATTCTCAAAATAATTTAGGTAAGTTTGAATACTGTGACCCAGAAGTAACAACCTAAACATGATCTAGGATAACCAGGTTTTTCCATAACCTAAATGCCATATTCCACGGTAGCATGTTGAATAAATATGAAGTCATGGATTCTTAGCAAAGTTAAGAAAAAAGATCTTCATATCCACCCAAACCTATCTGCAAACAGGAATCAGAGCACTACCTTGAGTGGAGCTCCGTGGTGCTCGCTTTGGCAGCACGTATACATTTAAAATTGGAACGATACAGAGAGGATTAGCAAGGCCCATGCGCAAGGATGAACATAGAGTTCAGTGACTGCACGGCAGAGTCGCCTGGGAAGCTTTAAAGAATACTGATGCCCAGATCATATCCCAGACCAGTGAAATAAAAATCTCTAGAGGTGTGGCTGGAAATATCAGTAGCTGTGAAAGCTTCTCGGGTGACTGTAGCGTGCTACAAGGTGGAGGGCCGCTAGGTCCACTTTATGACAATCTATTGAGCTTGGTAAGCATACATACCCAAAGCCCAGCCACAAAGACAGGCAAAAAGTAGAGATATTTTAAAAGCCCCCGTAGTGATTGGGATTTACAGTTATCAGTTAAAAACCATCCAAGTCCCCCACTTTAGAGATGAGAATTAGGAACAAAGAGATAGTTTTCAATCTCTCCTGAGTATGAATTGGGATACTCTTTTCTGATGATTATTAACACTAAATTTGATATAAATGACCTGTTTTAACCTCTCTTACCAGCAGCCTAGTTTTGGAAAACCAGGGCAAAATTAGTATACTGGAGTATCCCAAGAGGGGAGGAAGAATTTCCAAGGAATGTAATAGGTGAGTAAACCTGACGACATTATAAAAACTCCATAGTTTTATTAAAGTTTCACTGAATAAATATAATTAAAGAAATTAGAACTGTACCTGGCATATAAAAAGGACTATTTAAGTATTTGTTTTATGGAATAATATGGGAGGATGTCTCCCCACCCTCACCCTTGTAATATGCTCTCCTCTAGGGAAAGTGCAAACAAGGCTGTCCTGCTACATAGAGGTAACTAGAACCATAATCCGGGAGCATGAGTCCAACAGACTACTTAACAGGGACCAAATCCAGCACATTGACTCTTTCTATAAACAAAGTTTTATTGGAACACAGTCACACCTACTTATTTGCATATTGTTTGTGGCTGCTTTATTTTTTTTTTAATTCTAGTGTAGTTAACAAAAAGTATATTATTTTAAGGTGTAAAATATAGTGATTTGACAATTCTATACATTACTCAGGGCTCACCATGGTAACTGTGCTCCTTCCCCTTCCTCAATCTCACCCATCCTTCTACCCACCTCCCCAGTGGTAACCATCAGTGTGTTCTCCATAGTTCAAAGTCCACATTTTTTTTTCTTTGTTCATTTGTTTCTTAAATTCCACACAGGAGTGAAATCATATATTCATCTTTTTTTTTTTTTAGATTTTATTTATTTGACAGACAGATTACAAGTAGGCAGAGAGGCAGGCAGAGAGAGAGCTGAGCAGAGAGCCTGAAGCGGGGCTCAATCCCAGGACCCTGAGATCATGACCTGAGCCGAAGGCAGAGGCTTTAGCCCACTGAGCCACCCAGGCACCCCATATATCCATCTTTCTATGACTTGTTTCACTTGACATTATACCCTCTAAATCCAACCATGCTGCTCCAAATGTCAAAATATCATTCTTTTTTATGGTTGAGTAATATTCCATTGTATGCATATACCAAGTCTTCTTTATCATTCACCAGTTAATGGACACTTGGGTTGCTTCCATGTTTTGGCTATTGTAAATAATGCTTCTATAAACACAGGGGGTGTATATATCCTTTTGAATTAGTGCTTTTATATCCTCTGTGTAAATACCCAGTAGTGGAATTACTGGATAAAATAGTAATTCTATTTTTAGTTTTTGAAGAAACTCCATACTGTCTTCTATAGTGACTGCACCAATTGGTATTCCCAACAACAATGTATTAGGGTTCCACTTTCTCCACATTCTCATCAATACTTATTGTTTCTTGTGTTTTGGATTTTAGCCATTCTGACAGGTGTGAGATGATATCTCATTGTGCTTTTGATTTGCATTTCCCTGATGATGAGTAAGGTTAAGCATCTTTTAACGCAGTCTGTTGACCATCTGGATGTCTTCTTTGGAGAAATGGTTGTTCATGTCTTCTGCCCATTTTTAAATTGGGTTGATTTTTGGATGTTAAGTTCTTTATATATATTAGATATTAACCCTTTATCAGACATGTCATTTGCAAATATCTTCTCCTATTCTGTAGATTGCCTTTTAGCTTTCCTGTTTCCTTTGTGGTGCAGAAGATTTTAATTCTGATGTAGTCCTAATCAGTTATTTTTAATTTCATTTCTCTGGCCTCAGAAGACCTACCTAGAAAGAAATTGTTATGGCCAGTGTCAGGGAAATTACTTCCTGGGCTATCTTCTAGGATTTTTATGGTTTCAGGTTTCACATTCAGGTTCTTAATCTATTTTAAATTTCTGTGTTTAAGCAAGTGGTCCAGTTTCATTCTTTTGCTGTCCAGTCTTCCCAACACCATTTGAAAATACTTTTTTCCATTGGATATTTTTGCCTCCTTCGTTGAAGATTGACTATATAATCATGGATTTATCTGGGGGCTATTTTGTTCCATTGATCTCTGTGTCTATTTTTGTGCCAATACCATACTGTTTTGACCACTACAGTTTTGAAGTGTACCTTGAGATCTGGAATTGTGATACCTCCAGTTTTGTTTTTCTTTTTCAAGACTGTTTTGGCTATTTGGGGTCTTTCACTGTTCCATACAAATTTTAGGACCGTTTTCTCTAGTTCTGTAAAAATGCTACTGGTATTTTGACAGGGATTGCATTAAATGTGTAGATTACTTTGGGAAGATGGATATTTTACCCACATTTTTTCTTCCAACACATGAGCATGGAATAACTTTCCAATTCTTTGTGTCATCTTCAATTTCTTTCATCAGTGTTTTATAGAGTATGAATCTTTCACCTTTTTGGTTAAGTTCATCCCTAGGTATTTTAGTATTTTTTACTCAATTGTAAATGGGATTGTTTTCTTTTTTAATTTTTTTATTATGTTCAATTAGCCAATGTACAGTTCATCGTTACTGTATTTGATGTAGTGTTCAATGATTCATTAGTAGTATATAACACCCAGTGCTCATCACCACATGTGCCCTCCTTAATACCCAACATTCGGTTACCACATCACCCACCCTCCTCCCTTCTGTGACCCTAGTTTCGTTCCCAGAGTCCAGAGTCTTTCATGGTTTGTCTCCCTCTCTGGCTTCTTCCCATTCAGTTTTCCTTCCCTTCCCCTGCAGTCCTCCATGCTATTCCTTATGTTCCACATATGAGTGAAACCATATGATAATTGTCTTTCTCTGCTAGAGTTATTTCACTTAGCATAATCCCCTCCAGTTTCATCCATGCCAGTGCAAATGGTGGGTGTGCATCCTTTTTGATGACTGAGTAATATTCCATTGTATCTTTATCCATTCATCTTCTTTATCCATTCATCTGTTGAAGGGTGTCTTGGCTCCTTCAACAGTTTGGGTATTGTAGACATGAACAGATACTTCTCCAAAGAAGACATAAAAATGGCTAAAAGACACATGAAAAAATGTTTAACATCACTAGCCATCAAGGAAATACAAATCAAAACTCAATGAGATACCATCTTACACCAGTTAAAATGGCAAAAATTAACAAGACAGGAAAAAAGTGTTGGTAAGGAATGCAGCCACTTGGGAAAACAGGTGGGAAGTTCCTCAAGATGTTAAAAATAGAGCTACCCTATGACCCAAAAATTGCACTACTGGATATTTACCCCAAATATATAGACGTACTGAAAAGAAGGGCCACATGCACCCCAATGTTCATAGCAACAATGGCTACAATGGGATTGTTTTCTTCATTTCTCTTTCTTCTTCTTCATTAGTATACAGAAATGCAACATACTCTTGTACATTGATTTTTTTAAAGATTTTATTCATTTTAGAGAGTGAAAGAACATGAAGGGGGGTAGAAGAAGAGGGAGAAGCAGACTCCCAGCTGAGCAGGGAGCCCAACAGAGGGCTCAATCCAAGTACCCTGAGATCAGGACCTGAGCCACCCAGTAGCCCCTCTGTATATTGACTTTGTATTCTGTGACCTTATTATTTTTTTTTTAAGATTTTATTTATTTATATGACAGACAGATCACAAGTAGGCAGAGAGGCAGGCAGAGAGAGAGGGGGAAGCAGGCTCCCTGCTGAGCAGAGAGCCCGATGCGGGGCTCGATCCCAGGACCCTGGGATCATGACCTGAGCTGAAGGCAGAGGCTTTTACCCACTGAGCCACCCAGGCGCCCCTTCTGTGACCTTATTAAGTTCATTTGTCAGTTCTAGTATTTTTTGGTGGAGTCTTCAAAGTTTTCCATATAGTATCATGAGTGAAAATTTTACTTCTTTATGAATTTATGTGCTTTTTATTTCTTTTTCTTTTCTGATTGCTGTGTCTAGGAATTCTAGTATTAGGTTGAATAAAACTGGTAAGAGTGGACAACCTTGTCTGGTCCCTGACCTTAGGAGAAAAGCTCTCAGTTTTTATACTAATTATAATATCAGGTGTGGATTCTTACATATGGCCTTTATTATATCTGGGTATGTTCCCTTTAAACATACTTTGTTAAGCATTTTTATCATGAACAGATGTTGGACTCTGCCAAATGCTTTTTCTGCATCTACTGAAATGCTCATATGGGTTATATGCTTTCTTTTGTTGACGTGAGGTGCTTATGGCTGCTTTTACACAGACGTTTTATGACCTGCAAAGCCTAAAATGTTTACTCATTGGCCTTTTACAAAATTTGTGGACCCTGATTTAGGTAATTCTTCTAAACTACAAAGATAAGAGCAAAAGTATTTGTACTGAGCCTTGTTTTTCATGCCTTTCCCAGAATTGTCGACCTTATTCTGAGTTTTGTGCTTTTAAGTCAGATATACCCTAACATAAGAACAAATTAAAGTATGCTAACATTAGAGTAAGTTATATTGGCAGAATCCACCCTGACATTTTTTATGAGACTTACGCAGACATATCCAATGGTTAGGATTCTATGAAGTTGCTAAAAATGATCTCTCTTTAAGGTTAAAATAACATGAGAATATCCTTATGTTTCAATGTTAAATGAGAAAGTCCAATTCAACATTTTATAAAGTATGATCACAACTATGTGAAACAAACAAATTACACATTTTCACAGGAAATCTCTAAGAAAAACACATCAGAATGTGTTGC